ATCCTCTGTAGCTGGGCTCCCATGTGGCTACAGTGGCATTTGTATTTTAGGAAAAGCACTGGGCAGGGGCGGCGGTCCTCCTTCCCCTGGCCCACTTAGGAGTGATTCCAGAAGCCTGCTCCACCTGGCCTGCAGGCTCACCAGGTAAAAATATCCCCAAAGCCAGAATCTGCAAAGGAGCGGGCTGTGGCCAATTCCTCTCATCAAAGTAACAGTCACACTGAGGCCACGTGTGATTTATGGACACAGCAGCCTTCAGATGCCTGTTTCTGAGCTGGTGCAGCCCGATGGTGACAGTGGTCCTGTTTTCTTCTCATGATTGCTAATTAACTGTCTATCTTGGCTGCACAAGCAGAGGTACTGGAGTATTTGACTTGGTTTTCCAATAAAATGTAAGAACTTTAAGAAAAGGGCTGTAGCTCAGTGATGGAGTGCTTGCCTAGCGTGCACAAGGACCTGAGTTTGACCCCAGCACAATAATAATAATATAATAACTTTAGATTTGAGATTATTTATAAGACATTGAATCTCAATTTTTATTAGTGTCTTTTTGGTGGTGCTGGGGTTTGAACTCAGAGTCCAAAGCTTGCTAGGCAGATGCTTGACTACTTGAACCGTGCTCCCAGCCCTTTTTGCATTTCCTTTTTTTTTTTTTGGCAGGGTTTGAATGCAGGGCTTCATGCTTGCAAAGCAGGTGCTCTACCCCTTGAACCACACCTCCAGTCCATTTTGCTCCACTTATTTTGGAGATTGGGGGAGGGGTGGTCTCACGAACTATTTTCCCTGGCTGGCCTTGAACCTTGATCTTCCTGATCTCAGCCTCCCATATAGCTAGGATTACAGGCATGAGCCACTGGTGCTGGACTGCTTTGGTTATTTTTTTAAGATAGGGTCTTGATTTATGCCTGTGCCAGCGTGGACCTCAATCCTCTGCATAGCTGGAATGACACGGCATCACACAGCTGCATGTTGAGATGGGGTCTTGCAAACTTTTTGCCCAGGCTGATCTCAAACTGCCATCCACCCAATCTCTGCCTCCATTGTAGCTAGGATTCCAGGCTTGAGTCATGGTGCCTGACTGAATCTCAATTTTAGTAATAATTTTTTTTTTTTTTTGGTGGTACTAGGGTTCAAACTCAGGGCCTCACGTTGCCAGGCAGGCGCTCTACCACTTGAGCCACTCTACCAGCCCTGAATCTTGTTATGTCGACCCTTGATCCTCCTACCTCTTCCTGCTGAGTGCTGGGATTACAGGTGCAAGACACCACCCCCCGAATTTGTCTTATCCAGGCCTGGGCCATAGTACTGATGACACTGATTTCCCAGCCACCTCCCTACTAGACTGCATTCCCAAAGAGCAGGGACCACAACTTACTTCCAGATCCCAGGGCTGGCCCAGGCCTGGAGTGTGGGCTAAATGTCCTACATATATGTCAGTGAGGAGCCCCAGATGGCTGAGGACGGATCAGATGTCAGGCTGTGGGTGAATGAGGGCGTGATTGTGGGTGATGACAGGGGAGTGATGGACAGGAACACCCAGTGTCTGTGTTCAGTGGAGAGGGAGATCCTGGTAGGCAGTGTGGGAGGCTTTCCTGTCCATGGAGGATGTTGAGCTGCACTTGGACCAAGGAGGATGTGGGTAAAAGAAAGGAAATGAAGGTGAGACTGCAACGCCCCTTGGAATGAAGGATTGAGCCCAATCCTTGCAGGCCTTCGGCGCCAAGCTAAGAAGCTTAGGCTGTTAAGTCTTCTATTAATTAGCCACCATTTATCACATCTAATTGTTTGTTAGTTTATGTGATATCTCCATATCCTGACTACAACCTCTCAGGGGAGGAATAATCTTCTGTATTTATATTTAAGAAATAGTTCAGAGAGGGAAAGTGACTTGCCCTAACTCACGCAGTGGAGCTGAATTGGAACCTCAGTTTGGGTGACTCCAGAGGTACTGCTGCTTTATTATTTTTTAAAACTATCTCATCCTGTTCACTCTACAGCTGGACCACAGGAACAGAGGGGTTTTGAGCAGGGGGTCAAGATGGGGGAGTGGGGAGATCATCTCTCAAATGGGATGTATTTGGACAGGATTCTCCCTGCTATACTGCAGGCCTGAGCAGCTCTGTCACAGCGTCCTCCTCCACCCCCCCACCCCCCCCGTGGAGACCTTCTTTCCTAGGACCGGCACTAGCTGATTTGAGAACATCCAGTTAGACTCCAAAGCAGCAGCACCACCAGGGCTGGGCAGAGTCAAGGGAGAGGACAGGACAGTGCACATGGAGGAAGCAGGGTGTAGGGAGCATGAGAGAGACTGAGGCATTGGGCCCCACATGAGCCTGGACCTTTCTCCCCAAGGTCAGCAAACCATGAAAGTCAAAGTTGGATTATCTAGTCCTATGACTGCTACACATGGGACAGGAGCCTGAGCCCCTTCAGAGAAAATGACCTGCCCAAGGTCACCCAGCAGGCAGAGGTAGACCCTCCAACAGAGGCTGCATTTCTCAACTCCTGAGCCAGGGCCAGCTGGGAAAAATGGCACATTGGTACCTAGATGACACAGGCGGCAGAGAAAGGCCTATTCTGCCACCACCCTACTGTGTGACCTTGGACAAGTCACTTCTCTCTGAGCCTCATGTTCTCTTTCCTCAAGATGAGACAATGGGCCCAGCTCTGCCTTTCTGCCAAGGAGCAGCCAGTGAGAAGTGAAGGTGGAAAGCTCTTTCCAACCTGCAGAGCTGTGAGGGGAGTCACCAACCACAGGCAGGCTAGCACCAGATAAGAAGGTGCCAGGGTTGAGCCTGGCAGTGCCACTCATACCCTTGCCCAAGCCTACAGCTTCCCTGGTCTCTGCCCAAGCTTTGCCATCTGTGTGGTGGTATCTGCTCCACCTCCTCCTGCCTCTTTGCCAGGAAAAGGCTTCAGAGGTCTCCTCACTTGACCAGAATCTTCCCTCTCTTTCCCCAGCCATGCCTTCTCTCTTCTCTGTGTTGTTAGGACTCTTAGTTCCAAGGTACAGAAATCAGAAGTACAGCCAGAAGTTATGGTACATACCTGTAATCCCAGCTACTCAGGAGGCAGAGGTAGGAGGATATCAGATTCAAGGCTAGCCTGGGAAAAGTTAGTGAGAGCCTGTCTCAAAAACAAAATTAAGCTGGTTGCCGGTGGCACACGCCTATAATCCTAGATGTTCAGGAGGCAGAGATCAGGAGGATCACATTTCGAAGCCAGGCACATAGTTCGAGAGACGCTATCTCGAAAAAAAAAATCACAAAGAAGGGGCTGGCAGAGTGGTGGAGTGGCTCAGGTGTAGGTCCTGAATTCAAACCCTGCAAAAAAAAAAAATTGAAACAACCCCAAAACAGGGCTGTGGGCATGGGTCAACTGGTAGAGTGCTTGCCTAGCAAGGTCAAGGCCCTGGGTTCAATCAATCCAAGTACTGAAGAAAAAAAAAAAAGGAAAGAGAAAGAAAGGAGAAAGGAAGAGGGGAGGAGAGAAAGAGGGAGGGAGGGAGAAGAAAGAAAAGGAAGAGAAAGAGGAAAGAAGAAAGGAAGGAAGGAGAAATCAGAAGTACTGGGTGGGAGTGCTTTAGGCATGACTAGATTCTGGACCTAAAACCATGTCCCCAGCACACTCCCCTTGCTTCTTCCACCCTCCTCCCACTCTCTTTCTGCCACTAGCTATGACTTCCTCCTCCCAAGGTAGCAAAGATGGCCACCAACAGCTCCAATCTGATACCACTCCTTTCAGGTATCCTGGCAGATAGAGAGCAGCTCTGTCCCAATTACCCCAGTGATCCCCAGGGGAGGCACAGGGTGGGTGCCCATCCCCAAGCCCCTCTGCGTCTGTGGTTATTTGGCTAGACCTGGCTTTGCTGCCCAGTCCAGAAATGGAAATGTGATCACCCAAGCCACAGACATGGAGTGGTGGGAGGTGATTTTCCAAAACAGATGGATTGTGTCACCTCCAGGAAGGATGGTGGACAAACACAATAGTTATCCTTGACACCCTTGTTCCTAAATTTACCAGCTAAAGATTAGACTTAAGGACCTGCTGGAAAGGGGTGTTGATTGAGTCCTATATGTTAGCTTTTGTTGCACGACAAATCACTTCAAAATGTCATGGTTTAAAGCAACCATTTTTTGTTTTTTAGCTCAGGATTCTGTGTGCCAGTGGAATGGTTCTTTTGATCTGGGCCATGGGTCTGTAGTTAGCTGGCAGATTGCCGAGCATGGGAACCATCTAGGATGGCCTCGCATGTCTGATGGTTGAGTGGCTGTTGGCGGGGTGCCTTGGTTCTCTTCTATGTGTCTCACATCCTTCCGTGGTCAACTTGGGCTCCTTGACAAGGTGGTTTCGTTACAGTGATGCCAATGGACAAACCCCAGTGCACAAGCATTTTCAAAGCCTTTGCTTGTGTTCCGTTGCTAAAGTCCCATGGGGGAGAGCAGGTCATGTGACCAGCACATCATTGGTAAGAGAGGGCTTCGCCAGAGAGCCCAGAAACAGGAAGAGGAGGAGTGTGAGACCAATTTTTGCACTCTACTAGACCTAGGAAGGAGAATGAAAATTGTCCCTTCTCTGTGGCCCAGGGAACACATGGACCAGGACAACCTCCAACTAGGGATCCTTGGAACAGGTGACCCAATGCAGAGACTTCCCTGGGCCCTTCATGGCTGTGGTTCAGCTCTCTCACCAGCTGGAGAGAGACCCTACAGTGGGAAGGGACAGGAACTCAGGTTGCCAGCAGAGAGGGCCTCCTGGGCAGGAAGGAGGGTGCTTTGAACCCTGGCTCACCAAAAGTAGTGATGAGGCTTAGGGACCCCCATCCCATGCCCACAAAATTGGCTCTCCTCCCAGCATCCCTTTGATACTCAGGGGGCTGGATGGCTATGGGTCTTGTACCTCATCACCATGGTAACTGGTGCCACCTACTCCACAAGACCAAGGGGGAGTTAGCTCCTTCCCTCCCAGGGGGACAGGGGACAAGCCTGTCTCTTCCACAGGTGGCTGCGCTGCAGCGGCAGATCTTTGACTTCCTGGGCTACCAGTGGGCTCCCATTCTGGCCAACTTTCTACACATCATGGCGGTCATCCTGGGCATCTTTGGCACTGTGCAGTACCGCTCCCGGTACCTCATTCTGGTATGGCACACCAAGCTCCCTTCCCAAGCCAGCCCCTCTCCTCAGCCCTGCTCGCCCAGCCCTCCCTAACCCTCCAGCCAGAGCTGTCCCCTGACCCGACACTGGCCACCCAGACCAGCTGGGAGGCCAGATATCCAAACCTCAAAGCTGCTTTGCTCAGAGGAGGCCAGGTCAGTATTTTTCATAAAAAATTTCCCAGGGAAGTTGTCCAAACATGATCGAGATATATATCATTTAGTGACTGCCTCCCGTGTGTCAGGCACACGCTCAGAGTTTCATATGCTGTGCCTCATCTGTGCAAGAGCCCTGCAAGATGGAAAGACCCTGCTTCTCCATTTTCCAGCTGAGGAAGCTGAGGCCCAGAAAGGCTACAGCCTTTCCTGAGGTCACACAGCTAGGAAAAACAGTGCCAGGCCAGCTATGGTGGTACGTGCCTGTAATCCTAGAACTCAGTCAGCTGATGAAGGAGTTTGAGGTCAGCCTGGACTACACACACAAAAGGAAAGAAGAAAGGAAGGAAGGAGGAGAAAGGGAGGAAGGAAGGAAGGGACAAAGGGAAGATGGAAGGAAGGAAGAAAGAAAAATCAGGGTTTGAGTATCAGGTCTGGAGTGAGGGTTCCTGGTCTGGAGGGGCAGGCCACATCTTGCTGAGTTTCTCAGGGTGCCAGGGAAGCTTCACCAGGCTCGGCTTCTGACCCTGCTGACTGGAGCATACGGGGTGGCTTTGAGCTCAGTGGCTCCTGTACTCTAGCCGCAGGGGTCTAGTACCCCCGGCACCCTCCTCCACCCCCTCTTTCTAGGCCTTGGTTCCTGACGGTCTCTCAAACTGTTTCCAGCTGGACTCGCCCATGTTCCCCACTGATCCTCAGTGACGTCATCGAGCAGGTGTCTTGAGGAAAACTGTGCTATTATGTAGTCAGCAATGCCAATGGCACTCAGTGCTGTGCTTTAAAAGCCCGCTCACGTTCGGTCTAGGGTTTCTCCCACCTCTCACAGGCTCAGCTCCCAGGAGCCAAGTGGCAGGGCCAGAACAAAACTCTCTGTCACCTGATATAGGGAGTACAGGAAGTTCCAGGGGCCACACCCAGTAGCACTGTCTGCCAGATGGCAGCCACCTGGACAGTAGGTACAGGAACTCAGGTGAAAACATCCAGATCCAGACCCCCTTTGCCTTCGGTCTCTAGCCATGATCATCGATTGGATGCTGTCCTCCCCCACAAGTGGCCACACATGGGTTGTGGGATGTAGCCAAGAGGTCCTGCTGACCTAACCACACTACTTCCAGCCTCTCTCCCAGTCAGGTAGGAGGTTTGCTGGGCTGCCCCTGTTGGCCTGGGCAGACCCCACTGACAGCACTGTGTCACCTCCCCGGTCCCTTTTACCTAGACTTCAGCCACAGGCATGTGTGAAATGATGACCCACCCTTAAGCGCAAGCATCAGGTTTTAGGATGACTTCCTGACTCTTTTGGTCCAAGTTCTAAGTTCTCAGCATCCTTCAACCATTGCTTGACTCTACCTTCGTTTTCACTGAATATCACAACCACTCACAAGAATTTTACTCCCTACTCCAGAAAATCCCAGTCCCGAGTCAGGCATCGTGAATGGTGATACATGCCTGTAATCCCAGCACTTGGAAGGCTGAGGTAGGAGGATTGTGAGTATGAGGCCAGCCTAGGCTACGTAGCCAGACCCCACTCCAAACAAATAAATACATTTTTTAAAAATAAGTACACATTTTTTAAAAAAAGAAAGTTGTAGTTCTCTGCCTGAGACCTTCTGATGACCTGTAACTTCTGGTTACCAAGTGTGGTGAAAATGCACCACTTTCTAAGCGACTTCCTGTGGTGTTGGCTGATTCATCGGCCACCACACCGGGCTCTGGCATCACAACGTGGTGAGTTAGGACAGCAACGCCCTTGCTGTCTAGTGACTTGCCATCTGGAATACAGTTCTGAAAGTTTATCTAAATCACAATTCCTAGGGGTTCATATTTGAACACCATCCTAAAAATTCACAGGCAGGCCTGGGATCCTGGCTCAGATGATAGAGTGCCAACTAGCAAGTGTGAAGCCCTGAGTTCAGTCCCTATCCAAAAAAAAAAAAAAAAAATCAGAATCAGTAAATCTGGAGGTAGGACTCAGGAATCTGCTTTTTTTCTTTTATTTAAGAAATAGGGTCTTGGGCTGGAGGTGTGGCTGTAGAGCGCCTGCTTTTCGAGCCTGGAGCCCTGAGTTCAAACCCTGGTCCATCAAGAAAAGAAACAGAGTCTTGCTGGGCACTTGTGGCTTACGCCTGAAATCCTGGCTACTCAGGAGGCTGAGATTAGGACGGTCACAATTCAAGGCTAGTCTGGACAAATAGTTTGCAAGACCCCCACCTCCAAAAAAAGAAACAGTCCCTCTACATTGCTCAGACTGGCCACGAGCCAGTCTCCTATGTTCAAGCAATCCTGGCTTCCCAAGAAGCAGGGACTGCAGGTGCACACCACTGTGTCTGGTGGCATCTCCATTTTTAACAAACTCCCAAAGTGTTTCCAGTACATTCTAGAGATTGCTGGTTCAGTGGCCGGTGCTCTCAGCAGAGTGGACATGACTTGGATTCGAGGGCCAGCGCTCCCTCTTCCTAGCTGTGTGATCTAAAGCTTACACCTCCTCTTGGCCTCAGATTAATGATTTCTAGAGGACAATGCCTGCCTGGCAGGGCCCACCTGAGGACTGGATGGATGTAGGAATGACTTGCACACATAACAGTGCTCTCTGAATGAAGCACTTATCGCACTTTCCCCTGCTAAGGTCCCCACTGCCCTCGAGCTGTCTCCATTGACTCGTCCCCTCCCCACTCCCCCAGGCCCCACCCTGAATCCACCTCTGCTTTCCCCAGTATGCAGCCTGGCTGGTCCTCTGGGTTGGCTGGAATGCGTTCATCATTTGCTTCTACCTGGAGGTCGGACAGCTGTCCCAGGTAAGCACAGCCTGGCCCTCCCATCCTCCCCCAGGGCTCATAGAGTGCTGAAGGTTCAAGAGCTTTCCCCACCCTGTACACACTCACATCTCTGCAGCCTCCCCTTTCCCCATTTCTGGCCTCCTCTGCATTTCTCAAAAACAGTGATGGAACAGATAAGTCTAAAGAGCCGTCTGTGTGAAGATGGGCTGGGGTTCTCAGTGGACCACAAACTCAGTAAAAACCAACAGCGTGCCTTGGCCCAGAAAACTGCTCTCAGGCCCCATGAACAGCATCTTGTTCAGAGCAACCAGGCAAAAATGCCATGCTGGTTTGGGTTCTTTGCTCATCAATATTTTTCAGAAAGGAAAGAGACTAGTGTTTGTTCAGGGAAGATTGAGCAGACTATGTCATATGGAGAACTATTGAAGAAAGTGGAGTTATTTAGCTTGAAGAAGAGCTCAGAGAGACACTAACTTCTATTTTTAGAAATAAAGGAGGCAAGCTGGGCCCCAGTGGCTCACACCTGTAATCCTAGCTACTTAGGAGGCAGAAATCAGGAGGGTCACAGTTTGAAGCCAGCCTGGCAAATAGTTTGAGAGACCCTATCTTGAAAAAAACCCATCACACACACACAAAAAGGGCTGGTGGAGTGGCTCAAGGTGTAGGCCTTGAGTTCAAATCCCAATACTGAAAAAAAAAAAAAACATGTCACAAGGAGTTTTGGCTTTGTGGATGAACCCGGCTCAATTTGAATCCCAGCTCCAGCGTTTCCCAGCAGTGTGACCCTGGGCAAATGGCTTGTCCTCTCTGAGCTTCTGTCTCCTCTAGGAAGAGGAGGCAGTAGCAACCCAGCTTCGTGTGGTCCAAGGTGATGAAATGAGATCACACATCTTAATACTTGGCAAATGCTTAGTACATAGTGACTCTTGGTCTGATTGAAGGACAGCCTGGAAGGATGAACACAGGGCTGCACACCCTGAGTGAGAACTGAGTGAGACCAGGCCCATCTCCATGAAACAAAGGGGAGACCACAGACTAAGGAGATGAGAGGTTTGCCCAGGGTCACACACATAGCAGTGGAGCCAGAATAGGCTGTGAAGGGGTCTGTATGGAGGAAGTCACCAATGGGTGGTGAATTGGGCCTTCTCATTTTTACTGGCCCTGCTAGCTCTGAAATTCAGAGGCTCCCGTGGGCTCTTTCCAGCCCCTTTCTATCTCAGCAATGGGAACCTGGGGCCTGCATGGTCATTCGCTGCCACCTGCTGGCCAGATGTGGGATTGCAGGTGCAGTCTAGCGCAAGCTGCAACAACCCAGATGTGAAGTGAGGCCTGGGGAGTGTCCACCCTCCCTGCCCCCAGCTCAGTATCCCAGGCCCCTCTGCTCCCAGGACCGGGACTTCATCATGACCTTCAACACATCCCTGCACCGTTCCTGGTGGATGGAGAATGGGCCAGGCTGCCTGGTGACCCCTGTTCTGAACTCCCGCCTGGCCCTGGAGGACCACCATGTCATCTCTGTCACTGGATGTCTGCTTGACTATCCCTACATTGAAGCCCTCAGCAGTGCCTTGCAGATCTTCCTGGCGGTGAGTCCTGTTCCCTCACCCACATGTCCTCCTAGGGGTGGAGGCTTCCATCCCGACCTCTTTACCCCTAGGTAAGAGGGGACAACCCTAAGTCTGCCAGTCTGAATGTGCTTTTTCATGGATAGGTGAAGCTCAGACCATCTTTAATTTAAACATCTAATACACCCCCCTGTGGCTTCAGATAAGTCACTTTCCTTCTCTCAGTTTGTTTCCTTATTCACAAAAAAGGAAAGACAATCCCAGCCTCATAGAGTTGTGAGATAAGAAAGGGGTCCAAGAGAGTACAAGTTCCATTTCTAGGGGAGTTTGAACTTCTGCTTGAGCCATGCCACCAGCCCTGTTTTGTAGTGAGTATTTTCAAGATAGGGTCTCGAAAACTATTTGCCTGGGCTGGCTTCAAACCATGATCCTCCTGATCTCTACCTCCTGAGTGGCTAGGATTACATGTGTGAGCCACTGGCACCTGGCTCTTTTTTTTTTTTTTTTTTTTTTTTTTCTTCCCAGGGTAACTGGGAAAACTGTGGCTCTAAAAGGTAGCCTGGGAGGCTGCTAGAATGAAGAATGGGGCCAAGGATATTTGACTTTTAAGTGTAGGCATTTAACTTGAACTTGTTATAGTTTGCCAGATCCAGGCATGCCTCCCGGCCAATTCGGGGTGGGTGGGGGAGGAGGGGCGTCAGGAAAAAAACTTCCTCCCTCTGAGGTATTATCTCCTCTCCCAGCTGTTCGGCTTCGTGTTTGCCTGCTACGTGAGCAAAGTGTTCCTGGAGGAGGAGGACAGCTGTGAGTAAGCTCCCCTCCCCAGGGAAGTGGGGCAGAGTGGCACCGCGCCACTGATGCTTTTCAGTACCTGGGACAAGGGCTGGAACCGCCCTTGGCTGGAGGAAGCCAGGGAGTTCCTTTCCAGGGAAAGAAGAGGCTGCAGGAGTGGATGGGGGTCTTCGTAGCCTGCCTATTCTGGACTGCGGCCCCAGGCGTTCAGATGTCCTGTCCACGGCCCCTTTTCCCAGCCTGGCTTCAACCCCAGCACTCATCTTGTCCTGTCCCCAGGAGCCTTCTCTCCTACAGGACTGCCCCGCCTCCCATGCTCTGTAGTCCAGGGGCCTTGAACCCCAGCTGGCCTGGAGCCCTCCTCACTGGCCTCGCCCCTCACCAGCCTCCCCCCACCCGCTTCTCTAGCTGGGCCTCCTGGGGCTGGGGCGGAGGTGGGGGGGCAGGGGGCTGCTCTCAATTCTTCCCTTTTAGGATCCAGCCTCTCCTAACTCGCCCCCTCCCCTTCCGCAGTTGACTTCATCGGTGGCTTTGACTCCTACGGATACCAGGCGCCGCAGAAGACGTCGCATTTACAGCTGCAGCCTCTGTACACGTGGGTCCTGCAGTGGGGCCGGGTGTGACTGGAGGGACCTGGCCACTAGTGCTGGGGAAAGAAGGGGACGGAGGAGTGGAGGAGTGGCGAGGGCAGCTGGATCTCTCAGCCTGTGTACGCCCCTCACCAGCCTTTGTTTCCTGCAGGTCCGGGTAGCTTCCTCCCTGCTCACTCCCCGGCTTCGCGCCCTTCGGCCGCTGGACTGACTGCGGCTGCCACGAGCTCCATGCAAGATAGGCAAGCGCGCCCCCTGGCGGCTCGCGCCGAGGCCTGCAGCTACTAGCTACAGAGGACTTGGACTTGAACTTGACCCTGGACCTTCACAGCCGGACATCAGGGGTGGGGCGGGGCGGGACGGGGAGGGGGATCGCAGGGTTTGTATTTTTTTTAATCTCAGCCTTGGCTTGCTCCAGGGCCTTCCTCCCTTCTCCAGCCTCTCCCTTTCACTCCGCCTAGCATCTTGCCTCCTGTGCAGAGAGAAACTGCAGGACAGACAGACTCACCCCATCTCACCCTCATTCACCAGCCCTGGGGAAAGATACTGTGAACTAGGAATAGGAGTCCTGGGTTCCAATCGCAGTTCCATCATTGACATCCTGTGTGACATCTGGCAAAGCCCTTGCCCTCTCTGGGCCTTGGTTTCCCCACTTCAAGTAATTAAAATGATCCCTTAGCAGATGGACTCATCTAGCCTTCTCATTTGACCCTTAGTTCCCTGGGCGAGGTTGGGACTTTAATTCCCACTTTGCAGATATGGAAACTAAGGCCCAGAGATGTGAAGTGATTTGCTTGAGGCCACACAGCAAGGCTTTGGTGGAGGCAGGCCTTGAACACAGTGTACTCTCTAGTTTCAGACTCCAAAACCCAGTGTCTGGTCTCTGGATTCCACTTCCAAGCCCCTGTTCCAGCTTGGTCACTTCCACACTCACACACCACCCCCACAACTTGCCAGCACTACTCTTAAAGCAATACACCCGTTCATTCTCTTGTTGGGAACCGGATGGACAGAACCCAAAGCCCTGAATTCAGCCTGACCCACAGGGAAGGTTTTCTAGACTCTGCCTCTGACCCTTGGCAAACCTTTGAAGCTCCCTCCTCACTTCACCCCTTCCAGGTCCCTCTGGGGCCAGGCCTCCTACATCCATGATCCCATGCCCCTCCCCCAGCAACCCCAATGGCTCCATCTACTTCTCACCACTGTGGCTCCTAGGGGAGAGGACCGGTCAGTGCTGCCTGGACACCAGTGTGTATGGATCACCAGCATTTATGACCTCTCCAAGGTCCAGAAGCAACTTCTGGCAAGCCCGGGAGTGCTGAAGAGGCAGAATGGGGTATGGGTGACTGGAGGGTCAGTCACCTTTCTGAGAACAGGCAGGGGTGAGAGCTCTTTTTTCCTATCTCCCTCTACAGACACCCTCAGGACCCTGTGCCCTGGTTGGTGAGTCACAGGTAGGAGATTCAGGCTTCAGTGTCCCAGTCTATAAACTGGGAGTGGCCTGGGGACACAGAGGGAAGCCCAGGCCATGGAGATGGCTTTCACACTGGACCCTGTCATGGTGACCATGTCACTTCTTGCTCCCCACTCTCTGGTCTTTGCTGAGCTAGGATGGCAAGCCCACCCCAGCAACCCATCTGCAGTGCTGTGCCAAGTAGCCAGCCCCAGGCTGGGCTGCTACCCCACCTCTGGGCCAGTTCCTGCCTGCAGCCCTTGCTTCTTCCCCCAGCCCCAGGTCTCTCTTTCTATTGAACGGGTTTAACCACTGGTGCTCTGAAGACTTTTGTTTTTATAAGCTGGTTTTGCAAGGGGAGAAAGTTCCTTCTCACTGGGATCTTGCAAGGCCAGGCATGCGCCCTTGGCTTCTGTGCAGGTGGGCTGATTAAAGATGGTGTTTTCTTCTCTGTCTGCCTGTTCTGCCCTCTGGGTCAGAAAGACCTCCATAGGGACAAGTCCCTGCATGAGAGTGGGCAGAGCCGTGGTCAATGTTGGGTTGCTGGCCTGTGCTCAAAAAGGATCACAGAGGCCGGGCGCCAGTGGCTCACACCTATAATCCTAACTACTCAGGAGGCAGAGACCAGGAGGATCGCAGTTTGAAGCCAGCCAGGGAAAATAGTTCATGAGACCTTATATTGAAAATAACCAACACAAAAAAGGGCTGGTGGAGTGGCTTAAGGTACCACAAAACCCAATACCAAAAAAAAAAAAGACCAGACTGAATCTCCAAGGTAGACTTCATACGCCCTTGAGAGACTCCTGTTTATTTTTCTGAGTAAGTGCATTCTGTGTTGATGCTCTAAATCTCCTTTGTGTCTTAGCTCTGCCCTCTTTTTTGGGAGAGAGAGGGACAATACCAGGATTTGAACCCAGGACCTCATGCTTGCTTGGCAGGTGCTCTACCACCTGAGCCACTCCTCCAGCCCTCTGCCCTCTTCTTGACAACTGAACTCCTGCTTGAAGTGAGCTAGCAGACAGTGCTTTCCACATGGGTTCCTGCATCCTAACCTTGACATCCTGGATTCTTTTCTGCATCAGTATTCCACCTGAATTTGAATCTTGGAAGTTTTCCCCTAATAATGTGGAAGTTTTCCACAGTCACTCCTCCCAATGCCCTAAGTCCCCTACGCCATCCCTGTGGATATATCTGGCCTTCAAGGTCAAGGGAAAATAAGTCAGACACTGCATTCTAGGAGCTCATGGTCCAGTGGGAGCACACTTGGTGGGCTGGCAGAGGGCAAGTGCTGGCAGCAGAAGGTCAATGCTGAGGACATGTCGAGGCAATTGTTGAAGAGCTCAAGAGAAGATCCAAGAGCTCGGGCAGCAGCAGGGGCACAGGTGTGGAGGGAAAATGTGTGGTGTTTGGGGTAGGAATAGAACAGGTCAGAGGAAACTTCGGGGGAAATGTGTTCCTGTCCTGTTGTCATCATAACAAATCACACCTTTAGTGTCTTTTTTTCTTTTATTTTTGTGTGATGGATAAATTTATTGTATACTTCTGACATGGGTCTCACCAGGCTGAAATTGAGATGTCTGCAGGCTCCTTCCTTTCTGGAGGCTCTGAAAGAACCCATTTCCTTAGCTTTTCCAACTCCTGGCTACCTTCCTCCATCTTCAAATCTGGCAACATCCAGCTCTCTGACCGTTCTTCCCTCACATTTTTTTAAGGCCTCACATTAGATTGGGTCCTCAGTTTAATAACATTCACAAAGTCCCTTTTGTCGGGTAACATATTCACAGGTTCCAGGGATTGGAGTGCAGACAGCTTAGAGGGGCCATTTCACCTCCACAGGAAAGGAGCCCGATGTGAGATCAATGGGGAGCTATTGAAGGATTTTGTCCATGATGCACTTGATCAGAGCTGCTCTTTAGAGAGCAGGGCTGGGAGGGTGGGTTGAAGGAGACAGCAGTGTCAGCAGTGTCAGCAGTGTCTTGTCTGCAGGAGGCTTAGCCTTTGTTGGGGTGGGGGGGCAGGGAGGGGTGAACCTGGGAGCCAACAGGGTGACGACCAGCATGACCTGTGGCAGGCAGGCAGGCACCCAGGTCCAAATCCCCGGTTCACCACTCTGGAACCAGCAGAGCTGGTCTGCCCCAGAAGTACAGTGGCCCACCCCCAGCTCCTGCCATCCTGGGCCATCTCCCAGCAACCTTTGCACATTCAAATAATCCAGGTAGGACAGACCATCTTCCAATGACTGTTCAGTCATTAAAATGCCCAAAAACGTTCTCTGAAACAGTAGACTAGGAGTTGGCACTTAACAAGTCCCCTAGGATGTATTGACAGCATTTTCTTAGGCACACTGGAATTTGGGCCTTCAAACTCCTAAACAGATCAGGGATGAGATAGGTCCCAAGGACAAGAAGAGACACTCCCAAGGCGATTCATTACTGTACAGGGCCAGGACAGCTGGATCCTGCAGAGAATAAGAACCCCTTCAAATCCAGATTCCTGAGGCCCGTCACCCAGAGATACCAAATCCACCATCTCCAGGGCAGCAATGGGACTCTTTCACTAATGCCCTGTGTGATCCAGGTTTGGGAAATCCTAGCCTGGGGAAAGAGGCATTCAGACAGTTTTTAAACTTCGTCTAGCCTGGCTGTGGTGGCTCCCGCCTGTAATCCTAGCTACTCAGGAGGAGATCAGGAGGATTGCAGTTCAAAGCCAGTCCTGGTGAATGGTTCCTGAGACCCTATCTCAAAAATTCCATCACAAAAAACAAAAGGGTTGGTGGAGTGGCTCAAGGTGTAGGTCCTGAGTTTAAACCCCAGTAGTGCAAAAGAAGGAATGGAGGGAGGGAGGGAGGAAGGAAGGAAGGAAAAGAACCTCCGTCTCCACCTATTCCATGGTCATGGATGGTAAGGATGAAATTCAGGGCCTCCGGCACGGTAGGCAAATGCTACACCACTGAACTACATCCTCAACCCCAAGCGGAATTACGTTGAAGTTCAGAATGACTTTTGGTAAGTGACAGTCTTAACCAGTTTTACTTATTTATTTGTCTTTGGTGGACTGTCCACTTCAAAGTCTGTAACCAACTCTTAAATTAGGCATGGCTTTCACTTCCTCCTAGCCAAGACAGAGGCAGGGCTCTGGGGAGCTGGGAGGTCAGCTGGAGCCCTGCCTTTCCCTCCTGGGGCCTCTCTGCAGCTGCTGGAGGAGGTGTGGACAGCTGCACATCACATGCAGTCCCATGTGGTTTTCAGTCTAGCCTGCCCTGCAGCCAGCCCCAACAGGTCCAGCCAGGTGCAGCTGTAGAAAGAGCCCCACACCTATGTTCTAGTTCTTCCTCTGCTCCCTCCCCCACCTGTGACCTGGGACAACTCCTCCCCACCTGGCATGGTGACTGACTTCATGGTAAAATAAGAAGAGTGGACTTTGGACTTTGGAGGATATTCCCGGGCATTCCTGCCAACATTCTGGATGAAGCATCTCAACCCACCCTGAACCTGGGCTGCCTTTCTAAAGCAGATCCTTCCGTACCCCCTATACCAGCCATTTGAATTCAAATATTTAGTAAGCTGCCAGGCGTGGTGACTCACGCTTGTAATCCTAGCTACTTGGGAGGCTGAGGTCAGGAGGATCAAGGTTTGAGGCCAGCCCAGGCAAATAGTTCATGAGACTTCATCTCCAAAATAACCAGAGAAAAATAGACTAGAGGTGTGGCTCAAGCAGTAGAGCACCTGTTTTGCAAACACAAATCCTTGAGTTCAAACCCCAGTCCTACCAAAAAAAAAAAAAAATGAAAAAAAGAAAGAAGCATCTAGTTTGTACCAAGAATCAGAGATTCAGTCATGAACAAAACAGACAGTGCTTCCTGCTCTTGTGGAAGATGTCTTTGG